AATGGTTTTCTTCAAGTTCTGGCGGACTACATTGTTATGTATGAATGAGGTTGTCTCCTCTAATGGAAGCAATAGAACTGGAGAAGAACACAGCATTGATGCCATATTGTTATGATCTATTGATGGATGGAATGGGAAGAAGTTGTACGGGCTCGAATGTTGTATTTGTTAGGGACGGAGGACTATACTCCGTATATAAGGTTAAGGAAATAGTATTCCTCATCGAATTCGATTAGGATAGAGATAAGTCGTGGGGCTAGTAGGTTTCCTAATATTGCAAGAGCTTTTTCTTGCAAGCAAAGGAATCGGGGAAAAGGTATAGATACGGAATGCATCTCTAACTCTATGTTTCCTAATCATGTAAGGGCTTTTATTTTTATTTTTTTTGAACGGAACTGGCTTAACGAATCAAACCAAAACAGGTTATAAAGTGACAACAAGTCTCCTGTCTACCGTCTGCCCAAGGAACAGACTTTGAATTAATCACCTCCGTAGAAGCTATATAATTCGCTGATCCCGCTTTGGGCTTATCTGAGCCTATGACTTGCAGACACGACTCCTCATCCCCTGTCTTAGTTTTACAAGTTCTTTTGCTGGAAAAACACATCACAACTGAAACAAAAAAACATCCAAAACGTGGGAAATAAATAAAGCAAAACAATAAGAGTAAATAAGTTTTTTAACTAAAAGAGCATGCCAACATCATGTAAGGGCTTTTATTAATAGTCCGTAATATTTAAATAATCGGTAATCCGTATTACATAAAATTTACTCCGTATACATCTACAAAACGCATTGATTAAAAAATTACTCTATGGAGTAAAACATTTTGGCATTACTAGATTCTAATCATTTTTTAGCCGAAAAAAAGATTCTAAAGACATCCGAATTTTCACAACTTAGCGGGGATTACTTCTATTTCGAATCAAAATGTCAAGTTCGTATTTTGAAATTTTGAAATTTTTTACTCATATTTTGGTAAGTTTTACTATAACTTAATATAAAATCGGAACACATACTCATGGATTATGGTCCAAACATATGATTAATGGAGAGATTGAGTTCTAAGAAATGGAGAAGATGAATAGTAGTCTTGTGTATGAGTAAGAAATTAGGGTTTACAAGCTCCCAAGGGGAGTATATATAAAAAAGTCCGGGTCTGGGTCTCTAATATGGACCCAACAGACCCGATTACATAAAAGGATTGATAATATTAAAAACTAATCTAGAACACCCAAATAATAATAATGTGTGGGGGTCTCTGTACGGGCCCAATAGTTATGAGACCGGGGGTCCGAGCCCATATACTCTATCATGTACTATAAATAAAATTTCATAAAATAAAGTGATGTTCTTTGTAGGGTAGTAAAATTGAAAACTCAAGTAATTTGTATGACAACATTTTTAACCATCTACCACTAAACAGTTAGATATATCTACCATCTCGTCAGTCCATCTATGACTCCACACTATCAAACGTAATTGTGTTTTAATCTTTAAATATAAGATTATTAGCTTATTGTATCTCAAACTATCACCAAATTTATATATATATATATATATATATATATATATATATATATATATATATATATATATATATATATATATTGAAATCATTCTTTAGTTTGTTACTCAATAGAACTTTTATAGTATGATTTATAAATATGTCAAATTTGGTTAATTAAAATAATTCTATAATGAGTGAAGTGTTTATTCACTTTTGGATTATACTCTTCATTTAAAGTTTATTGTTGCATTGTCAAAGCTAATAACTTTAAGTATGGTTATTAATACTATCTTAACCATGAAAAATGAAATCTTACAAGAAAGGTATGTTTCTGTTTCAATCAAGGGCGAATACATATAGGTGATACTACTTTGATAGGGGCAGCTGCCTTCCAATAAAGGTCCAATAGTGCACATTACCCACATGACCAATTGGGAAAAACTCTAGCCCCACACATATGCTCCCAATTAGAAGAAAAATTATCCCAAAATGGGTACAGAACATAGCGGCTTAGCCAATTTTAAAGTATAGAATTTCAGATTACATTATAAGCTATTAGGACAATCATCATCATGACCCCAATCTCCCAAAGGCTGCCACCTACGGTGGAGTAAGAGTGATCGGATTTACACAACCTTATCCCTATACTAAATCACAGAAAGACTGTTTCCATATGACATGTGGTGAAAATCGTGTCAAAATTTGCATGGATTAACTTTTGCTTCATAACAAAGAAACCCACACAGTTTAGTCAGTCATTTTTCTTTATTCCATCATAGACTATTAGGCCAACACAAAAGATAAAATAGACATGAGCTATTAAATATTTTAAATCCCTAGACAAAAATAGATGAGTTAGGAGAGGTGAGAACCCCCAAAAATATGATTTGTAATGTATTTTAAAACCCAACAATATTTATTTTGTTTTAATGTACTCTTTATTACTCTGTACCAATACATTGTTGTTGATGTTAAGTTCTCGCACTCCGAACCCAACATAGTCCTTCAATTTTTGTCAGATCTTTTAGAGGAATGCATATTTGATTGTTATTCTAGAGAGATGAGAGCAATGAAGCAAACAAAAAATAGGTAAAGCGTATATGGTTCTCATTCAATAAATATGGTACACGTACAACACTCCTTTACCGAGTCCGGGCTTCTAACTTTTAGTCTATGTTTGGAAATTAGAGAGAGTAGAGAGAGAGTCTAAACTATTGAATTCAAGTTTATCGGTCAAAATCGTAAAATTCAAATACTACATGGAAATAAATGTGATTATTTATACTACAAGGTGGTAGGTGTTAGAGGCGACGTGGCATGCCCTGATTGGCTAGCCCCTAACCGTAAAATTCAATGTATCTTGTGCATTAAATGTGCTTCCCATCAGTTCTTGATTTCCCGCCAATCTCTTGATAGAGCAGTTCCTACTATGAGAAAGGTTGCAAGTGCTTTATCCTGTTCAGGAAGATGGTGTCCCGGGTGAGTAATTAATGGGCCTAGGTCGAAGGCATTCCAACTGGGCCAGGTCGTGCCCCAGGCATAATTATCGGCCTTCTTATGTTGGATTGCTGTGGCAGTATTGGGCCAGTTCGGCGTTGGGCCTTGGGCCTAATACCCCAATAATTGATTTTCTAAATCTGCCACGGGTTGGAATGCAACAAAGCTGTTTAGTGTATTCATGGAATTAATGTTTTCTTCTCTGGTTGTAGAATTATTCGTTGGGTTTAAGATATTCCAACCCGGCGCTAAACATAATTTAAAACATAAGCAAATAAGTTAAAAACACTCAAGAATTCAAAACTGGCTTGAATTTAGCATCTACCAGGGTAGTGTTGATTTTTTTAATCCCAAATCAGCTAAATACATTATATAAATCACCATATAAAATCATACTGGTCTTATGAGCTTAACATTTAGCACCAAGCTCATGGTATCTGCTAGAGACCCATTTGAATTGACTCGTTTAAACATCATCATGTTCCCCGGTCCCATTTGGACTAAGAGGCTATACTGCTATAGAAGTGTCAAGTGTGTCTCAATGAGTTAACTTCAAAATTATAAATATCATAAGTTACTCCTAGTTTGTCTTAAACCTCTTAGGTTGTAACTTTAAATCGTAATATTTGGTCTTCCTACTTATCATAATATTCATCATCCTATAATAAAGGATATCCATTAATATGGACAAGGTCTTCACAAGGGGCAGGGGCTTACTTAATCGATACACCCCTAATTGGCAGGTTCCAAAATCGAACCGAAAACGAGAGCAATTGCATGTAATTACATTTTAGGAACTAATAATCGCAAGGAGTCCAAACTCCAAACTAGCTTCAATTCTTCTAAAACATGGATTGGCTAGACCTATTGGGTCTCCAGTTTTTCTTTTTGCTTAGTAAAGCCCCTAACTGAAGTAAAAATGTAAGGTCAGTAGGTCACCCTACTACTCTACTAGCATCCACAAGACCACAATTTCTGGTGCATCCAGTATCTAGGTGCAAATTCACTACACCTAAAGGGAATAAAAGCAGAGCATATGTGAAAGCTATAGATTTCAACGCTAAAAAAGCATTATCGAAGTAATTGAACAACAGTCACTAAAAAAATGGTTGTATGTTAACAAGACATTATATGGAGCATTGGTTTAGGAGATTTCTTGCCTTTAGGGAATGGCTGAGTTAAGGTTTTGTGACTTTTGTCAAAGATGCGTTACAAACTAAAAGGCAAGTTTTATATGTTAAATATTTTTATTTATTATTCTGCGGAGTATTACGTAGGAAACTGAATTGCTGTGAATACAATTGACCTTTTCTTAAATTGGCGAAAAACTGATCCTAAACATGAAACTATACAACGCCCATTTTTCAGTCCGAGTTAAGGGTAGCAAGTAGCAACTTCATTGAATCCGGAATTTGACTCTTCCCACCAAAGCAGTAATGAACAGATGCCAGCAGCAACTTTTCCGGTCATCTCATTGGCATCATCTGCTCCAGATTGCATGCATCAAGTAGAAACGATTACTGCCCAACATTGGTGAACACATGAACCCTTTGCTCGAAGTCTCAAACCGGCTATCTGCTATCACATTATAACAGCAACAAAAGATCCAAAAACAATCATAAATTGCAGAGCTCATCAAAGAGAAAAATAAATTTTAAAAAGTGCACTAGGGAACTTAAATAAGGAATCAATTAGGCTTTGTTTGCAACCACTTGTGCTTAAATAAAAGCACTTTTTGATAAAAAGTGATTAGTGGTAAAAGTTAATAGTGTTTGGTAAAATAAGCGCTTTTTGTGTAATAGAAAAGGTAAAAAGTAGATTCTACACGGAAGCCGAGAAAGTAAAAGGTGGTAGTGTTTGATAAAATAAGTGATTTTTTCTTTAAAAAAAAGCCAAAATCACTTTTCTTAAGTGGTGCAAACAAAGCCTTATACAAACAGGATACGAACGCATGATCATAATATGTCAATATCTCATCTACTAGATGATTTTTGCATGTAGGGATAATTAGAGGCGAATCAAGTCAATCAACTGGAGCTGGAGCTGGAGCTCTCACAATAATACAAATTGTTTCTAAAACCTTTTGTTCTTTCAAAAAAAATGTGTTAAAACAATGATAAATTAATAGAACATTATTAAATAATATACAGAAAGAAAAGAGTATGGAAGACACTCAACTAAACATAATTATCATTTCTGAGCTATAAGTCACTTATGGATTTAGCATGGTGACTAAAATTCAGCATTCCCTTGGAAGCAAAAATGCCCGAGACTATACTGTCATTTTCATACATCCTCTTCTAACCACTGTAACGAAGCTCAAACAGCAAGTTCCGACGTGTCTCCGCACCCATTTGGATTCCGAATTGTTTGGCAAGTGATCCCACCTTGTCATCGGCTTCGTAGTCCATCTCTCTGGTGCATCGCCTTCTGATCTTTTTTAGCAATTCCCTTGTTGGAATATACTCCGCCTGCACCTGCACATGAAGAATATCAAAGATATGACTTCCCATGTTTTGATTATATCTGTCTAATTTTTCAGGAACAATGTAATCACCATTTCATCAACAACAGATAAAGCGGCCTTAAGATCTCGCTTGATGAGATGAGCGTCAACAAGTAGAGAATATGTTGTTGCATTCGGCTTCACTCCTAATCCCATTAAGTGTGCATACACCTTTGTTGCTTCATCACTCTGCCATATTATATACATTCATGAAACAAGTAAGATGTTTTTTATGCCAAAAGAGTAAAAATTGATTTGTAGAGTGGTGGAAAATCTTTGTTCAAACCCTGATCTCTAAGATTCATCTCCCACTTGCTGAGTTGACTTAAGAAGTTGGCCAGGATAAACCGACGACTTTGACCAAGTCACTCATATTTTATGGATTTTTCTTTAAATACCCAACCAAGGGCCGCCACATCTTGGTTAATGAAAAAGGTGGGACTGTTTAAAGAATACTGGGATTATTATAATCAACTTCAAGAAAATAATGGTGTTGTCGTACAAATGTTTCTATGAACTCTGAACCAAGATAAGAAAATTTGCGACCATCTTGAGAGTTCCAATTTCAACAAGTGATGTGAACAAATAAATATTTCAATGTAGACTCCAATGTCGCCATCTCATTTTTTTAATGTCTACTACAATGAGGATGATTTTTGTCAATAAATTATAACTATTGACACTTACATATTAAATAAAATTCGTGATTTGCTTTATTATATACTCGTATATTATAAATATATAATCAGAAAAGGTTTATTTATATTATCCTAAAAAATTATTTCTTTTTCTTTACACTTAAATATGAATTTATACTATTCATCAAAATCTATTCCCCTTCATACTAATTAACCATGTGCACCTGCAGGATGAACTGCTAGTTTCCTTAAAATCAAACACAATACAATTGAAAAGCTTGATGTCCTATGAGCCTGGGTGGTGGAAAAAACTGCAAGTGAAGCAAAGACCATTAAGCACTGTCACATGCTATTTTCTGCCTAATCCTACAAGCAAAATGACCTGATATTGAAGCCAGTCAGTAACTACACCTGTCAGGCTATCACGTAGAATGTATGTGTTCAATTTAGTAATTACCTTCCCAAGCTTACCAAAAGCATGTATCAGAGCGTTGTACGAATGGATATTAGGTGTCAACCCAAATGAGGAATCAATTGCCGTAAAAGTCTGATAAGCACGGTCAATATCCCATATATTGGCACACCCCAAAATGATGCAATTTAAAGCAGAAACAGACTTATAGGGTACTTCAGCACGGCTAAGGTTCTCCAGTTGATAGTAAACCTGAGGAAACGTGTTGGACACAAATAAGGAAAAAAACATAAGATAATAGGACACACCAAGGGTATGTATGTAACAAGGAGAATACTTGGGGATGAAAATAGGAATCCAGCCGTAGAGAAAAACTAGAGGGAAATAAAATGTAGAGTGAAATAAAAAGATAGGCTCCAACAAAATGAAATTATTTTAGAAGCTTGCTTGTTAGCTTGTACACTCATCTTATTTAATTATGTCTATTATATTAAACTTCTGCAATAATTATTTCAACATCTGAGCTCGAGGAAAAGAACTTTACCCTTCAACTCATCCTATGTTATCTTCATCATCAAGTACTCCCTGAGTACTAGCAGAGAACTCGCTACTCGGGGTAAGGACTTGCCGATTAGTACTCCAAGTCACACTGTTCCATTTTTTCGAGTAACTCACATAGTACTCGGCGATTTTCATTACTCAGTAACAAGGTTGACTCTCCGAAATTGACTTTTTGGGGTTAAATCTGAACAGTTTAAACTAATTTGGGATACAGGAATACTATGGAAGTTATGAATAATGAATAGGTATTTTAAAAGTTGGAAATATAAGATTACACAGTCAGTTTAAGTTCGGTGACATGGTGGATGAAGAAGAAAATGACGACCTTAAACCCAGTAAAGATTAGTGACGTCTTTAGAACAAAGTTCAGAATTACATATTATTAGGTGATTAATTTTCTTGGATGTTAGAATGTTTATGATTGTTTGGATTTGTTGCTACTTATATATGAGGATTATTATTATTTTATTCATATTTAAGAATTTTAAGACTAACATATTACTAGAGCTTTGGGGCATTTATATTTTAAAGTTTATAATTAATACAGGACCCTGTAATCACCGAGTAATTGGTCCTTATCGTTACTCGGCCTTCGACCGAGTTACCACCCAATAGCGATTATGTTACTTAGAACTCATCACACATTAACTGGTTGGAGAGACCAGAGAACATACAGTGTCTAAAGTTGCAAATCCATTCGTGCAGCAAGCAAGAACAAGCGGCTTCAAAGAGGTGAAAGGTGAAAACAGTTCTACTTTGTCGGCATTAGTGGAATTTTCATAAGCTTTCTCAAACTCAAGAAGTGAGGCAAAAGCATTCTGCAACTGACCCATCAAAGCATGGGCATTAATCTTAGCGATGTAAGCTTCAGGGTTAGGAATCCTAGAATCACGTAGTGAGCGTTTAAGGACTTCCCAAGAACCACTCAAGAGTTTAGAAGAAAAGTTTCTACCGGCAGTTCCAAGTGCAGCAACAACCATTCCTTCATCTACCGATAGTAAAACAGGTGGCCTCACATTTTGCCCTCGAACAATCCACTTCACGAAGAAGTCCAGAGCGGAAAATGTGAGTTCACTGTTATCTGCCTTTATTGCACGATCAGCCAATTGGCTGCATAAGTTCCAAGATGGCACCAGCTTTTTGTTCTGATCACTTTTCTGAAAGCACAAAAATTGAAGTGTCAACTTCAAATAATCACCTTTCTCAACAGCATGAAGTTCTTATAATGACGTGTGCAAAAAACTGAGTACCTTGCATTTCTCGATGATTGATGTCAATGCATCTAGCCTATTATTATCAAGGCATTTAAATATGCACTGGTTGAATACGTTTGATGACATGGTGTGACCAGATTTTAAGACCAAATCAACATATTTGAAGGCGGCGTCTGTCTGGTTTGCTCTAAAAAGCAAGTCAATAACCAAGTCAAAAGACTCATCATCAGGCAAAGAATCTTTGTTCTCTTTTCCAACCTCGAGCATCCTAGTATGCATAATAAACAAGCATATATCAAGCAGTAACATTATCCAACAACAACAACAACCAGGCCTTATTTCAATAAAAATTTGAGGTCAGCTAACATGAATCAACATATAATATTGGATTTTAAAAAAATAAATAGAGAAAGAGGGAGACAAATAATATTAGACCAACCCTTATCTAACCCAACTATTTCCTTTATCCTGCTAATATTGTCCCTTTTTTCATTCTGATTTTGTTAAAGTATTTGTGTCACACCAGGTATTTCCGATATCATGGATCGATTCATGTTAGCCGACCCCAAATTCTTTTGGATTAAGGCTTGGATGTTTTTGTTGTTGTATTTGTGTCACGCCAGATTAGTATAGAATAGTAAAACACTGCTACTCCTATCAAGTTAGCTATTAGATGGAATTTCAAATGTTTACATAGTATCAGAGTGAAGTCTAATTGTTGTTTGATTATTGTTTAGATTAAAGGTATGGTCTGTTTGACCCATCAAAAATAAATCATTTTCGAGGAATTTTATACCAGCCTGACATCTCAAGTTCTTAACTTTAAGATTTATGAGTTCCGCCTGCCATGTATAACATGCCTTCTTTGAAGAAAATAATTCAATGTCTAAAAAAACAACAGCAATGCAGTGTATTTTGATGCAGAGAAGCAAATAGAAAGATAGTTGTAAATGATTAATCTCTTACGAACCATTCTATTAACTGTTGGGCTGCTTCAACATATATCATGGGCTCTCGTCCCTGGTACATGGCTTTCAGCATTAAATTTTGTGATGCGGTATTGGGAACAAGTCCAAAATCCTCCATATGCTGCACTAATTTCATCAAATCTTCTACTGAAAGCCCGAGCATCAAATTGGCCCTCAAATAGTGATTGTACAGGTTGACGTCTGGCTTGTTCGGTTTCCCATTTTTGTCCAACGACTTGATCCAGAACTCGAACAGCTGCTTTACCTCCAGCCACCGAGACTCCGTCATCCAATTGCTGAAGTAGTCTATCAGCCCTTGCGCGTCCAGAGTTTGCGACAGGGATTGAATGCGATGCGAGGGAGGCTGTTGCATGAGACTCAGCGGGAGGATGGTAGAGCTAGCCGACGACGGCGAAGCAAGCCAGTTGTTAGTGTACATTTGGCTGCCAGTGACCGGGTTTGGGGGAAGCGGCGAACCATCCAGCGGTAGAATCGCCGGAGATGAAACCTCCACAAGCTGAGCTTCCTGCGAAAGGAATGGGAAGGTGGAGACGCATCTGTGGCCTTGAGAAGCCGTTCTGATCAGCAGTCTCGAACGATTTAGAATCGACATTGATGCCATTTTCCCCTGGAACTTTTTAGTGGAGTGGAACTCTCTACGATATATTCATACCGGTAAGTGTGTGTATCTCGTACAGGTAGTTACGAAAGAGCGAAGAGTGGAGGAGCGAGCTTCTGGTGCCTAGGGTTTTCGTTCATACTTCGTATTTCACAGTTGATGTTCTTGGTAGTGCTTCGTAATTGTCTAGGATCAAAAGGGTAAATTCAACCGAAAGGAATGGAAGTAAAGATAAGAATTAGGGTAAATAAGCAAGTCCAATGTTGTGTATAGATTCCTAAGGAAATTGCTGAATCTAAAAAGAGCTCATCTCCTATGATTATACTTACTTTTTAGTTCTGCGACTATCATGTCACTGACAATTCTGATACCCGATTTTGATTTGTTCCACTTTAAGTGGTGATCTCGTAAGTGTCAATGCTCCATCTAGTCACTGCACTAAAGTTTATGAGAGCTCCCTGCGGGATTTGATGAATCATGGAGGGGTTGTACAACTTCTAGTCGCTTCTCTGCAAATGGTGAATTCGAGGTTGGGAAAGAGTCTCATGATTAGAAACAACTTATTAAAATTGTTAGATTGTACTTAAAGAGGAACCAATTTTTCTCAGTTGTAGAGTATGACAAACTTAAATGGGTGGCTGAGTGTAAGAGCAAAAAAGAATGTGATTGTTTTGGCGGATCCGGTCTACGAAGAAAGATGTGGGGTAGTTACGTCCCAAGTTGTTTGTTATGCAGGTCCTCATATACTTGTCTAGGTAACGTCAATAACAATGGTCATGTTGGTATCACAACTCATTTTATAGCCCGTGAAATTATTGATCTTCTTCGTATTGATCCATCACTAAAAATCTTCACTACTAGTGAGCTTATGAAGGAAAAGTATGGGTGTGTACCTTCGTACAAGCGAAGTTGGTTGGCCAAGCAAAAAGCAATCGGTGAAATATTTGGAGATTGAGAGATGTCGTATTCTAACTTGCCTCATTTCATGTTGGCACTACAGCATTCAAATTCAGGGGCGATCGTGAATTGGTACCCAACTCTTTCAGATACCAACGAGTTGTTAGGGTACTATCGAAATGCATTAGATCGCATTTGTGATGATCAGGTATATGAGTATATCCAGTATACCATTGAGTGTAAGTACTTTGTTTTACGTTTTTGAACTATGATGTCACAATATTTTGTATTATAGATGACGTGGATGACGTACACTCATGAGGTTCTAGGACAGTTGCCTCCTGTTGTCCAAGAGCACACTGAGACATAGCGAGCATGTGTGCCTTGATATGTTTTGATTTAGTGGAGCATCACTTTCCTGATCGCGTTCTACGACAGTTCGGGTTGCAGCGGGTTATTCCTGCACCATGTGATACTTCTGTGGACTTGGATAAGATCGACAGACGAGGGAAGCACACTAAAGGTTGAAGGATGTGTCAATGGTGTCATATTCAGTATACCACCATGCAGGATGAGAGAGCGACTTATATAGTGAATGGGACCTCATCAATAGTCCTCGCGGCCTCTGCAAATTACATCAGCCAGTATTACAACATCACACGGGTGTTCGTCTCTCTCAGTTTTTCTTCTACCCACCGACCATTACCAACCTATTTTAGTCGCTCTTAATATGGTTGTAAATAATATATTCACTAAAATCACTTTATTTATTTATTCATGTTTTTTTCACTAATCCATGTTTGCATTACGGGCACGGGCTTTGCGTACCATTCATGACAAAGCGACTGATGTACTTGATGATGTCGTAGATGTACATGGATATCATGAGGTCTGTTTGGGCATTGCTGGAATGTGTGTTGATGTATTGGACTGAGTAGATTATGGATATATAGCCGTTTCTCAGTATTCCACGACATCTACATCCACAACAGGGTCTTCTAAGGCACTACGACGTGATAGAGTTGTTCTTCAGCCTCGTAACTAGTGCGGACGCCCCCAACCACAGGCACAATCATAGCCACATGAGCTTTATGATGATGATCACGTTAACTTGTGATATTTGTACTTTACATTACTGTGTGAAACATGCATTAGGTGATCGAATTATTTTGTGAAACATCGGATTTATTATCAACTTTATGTGGTATTTCAATTATTGTGATCCAGTGTAGTTTCTTTGATTCATTTTGTGACTCGGGTATATTTTGTTTTTGTAGAGGTGTTGATTAACTGTAAAGATCATATGTTTGTTTGTTTTTTAGTTGAGTGCACTACAATAAGCAGGTTTTTGTTGACTGCACGGTTAGAAACAAGTTTTTGTGTTTAATGGCATGTGCAGGTATTTACTAAATACAAGAGTCGCCACTTGGAGTTGCGGTGTTTGTAATGGACAGAAGAACCGTCACTTCGAGTGGCGACTTTCCTTAACCCTGGGTAACTCTAGCAGTGTTTTGGGAATTATTTTTAACCCAGTAGTATTTCGGGATTTATTTATTTTATTAGCATTATTTGGGGGGGGGGGCTGCAATTTTAGCGATAACTAATCGATTCCCAGTAAACTTACACAGTTACATGTGATGACCTACGTGATACATATTTACTATATCTCTTTCCTTTTCTCTTTCTTCATCCTTTTCTATTTTTGTTTTATCTTTCTTTCATATACAATGACATTGTTCTCATATGTGCGCACATAAAAATTGGTCAAATAAAAAAAATACAATTCCCATATGCCCAATGATTTTACATGCACTCAATCGACCGACAACTGCCATCCATGATTTGCATCTCTCATGAGGACAACAAGACCAACTTATTCCTTCTCTCCTACTTTCTTCCTTCAAATCATTTTTCTTATAGATTTCCTCTGACATATATGTTTCGTGAATGTCCAGATTCTTCAAAAAGTTAATATAGTCCATATTCTGATCAATAAAAATGATTTCATCATTTTATATTTCACCTTTTTCATCTAGAACTTCTGGTGGAAGCTCGTGCGGGAGCACTATTTAATGCTTCTTCGCCATGTATGTCGATTGGAGGCTAAATGTCGCACAGAAGACAAAAGCAGAGGTTGGAAATCATATTTTCAAGCAATTGAACAACTATAAATATACTAAATTGAGAAAAAGCTATTTAATTTTTAGGCTTGGCTCCTGTCGAATCAAAGAGTGTCTATTTTTTTGAACGCTTTAGGAATTCCATTTCTTCTCTTATCTCTAAAATTTATGAAGAAGATTATCGTTTAAATTTTAGCAAATGGAATTAACAAGGAATGTTTCTTTTATATGAGAACAATGAAAAAGAAAAACATAAGAATGAAATGAGGAGAGCCACAAATTTGAGGGAGGGGCCGAGCGGGTTGTATCATTCGGGCGAACAAATGAGGAGGAAAGAAAAGGAAAAAATATGGTGAAAATGTTATTAATGATACCGGTGGGAAACAATGTCAACTGCTACTGGTATAACCTATACTCAATCGATTAATCAACGGGATTAGATGTTTGTAGATAATTTGAGGGCTTAATTGAATGATACTCTTTGAGAATAAACTGATTTTGGATAAGCAAAGCCGGTTTTGGTAGTGTTCAGAAAAAACATGTATAAAGAACAAGTGAAAAGCACTCTTTCACTTGTTTTTAACTTTTAACTCATGACTGTTTATTTTAAGCATAAATTGTTACTTGAAAACACTCATTTCAGCATTTTTAAGCCAAAAGTCGGAAAACAATTTTTCTATCATTGCAATCACTTCTTTTACTATCATCATGAATTGGCGGGACAGAATAAAATTTCTATTATTTCTTTAGAGCAATATTACTTGAAAGTTCTGAAATATATTAAGTTGAATGTGTAATTAAGACGAAGAATGGATGTGGGGGGAGCGATGGTTGGCTGCCATCGAATCAAGTGCATCATGACCACGCCCACCTTATGCCGCATGGAGTGATAAATAGTCGGATATAATTAACAATCCACTACAGATTTGGCTGAATGAAGAACGAGATTTGCCTAACAGAGTGTTTTGATAGATGTTGGTTCTGAAATAAGATGGCCACGAATTGAAGTTCAACTAATGCTTGCGGTATAGGTGCTTAGGCGCCCCTTCTCAAAAGCATCTCAATCAGAACCTGATTCATAGCCATCACCATCAGTGTCTTGATCGTTAGAGTGGTTGTCCTCCCCATTCTCCTCACCCAAACTAGGTTCTACTTCCATGGCCTCTTTGACAACTCGAGAACTATACACACCACTCAAAAAACAGTGATCATGCACGCATGACGATCCTGTACTACAGACTCTCAAAGCGGAAGGAAAGTGTTGTCGAGCAACATACTTCCTTATCCCCCTCATTCGCTCGAGATATCAAAAGTAGGGGTTTGTGTTGGGGCATTGGGCCAACCAAACACCGGAACAGCCCAACACCGCCGAATCACCTCTTATGTTACCTCTGGACCTACATACAATGACCAAGACCATGCACCCACAGTAGCGTTGAGCAAAACCATTATATTATAAGAGCCAAACCAGATGACCTTGCCCGAATAATGGAGACATGGGTTGGGCATCCCCTAAGTTGGTCGTGCGACACCAGCACATGATTTATTATACATGTATATGTATAATTGCAGTATAATTTCAAACAATTTATGTATACTTATATTTTGAACAGGATGAGACGGATCAACATGTGTCAATACTAATACCCGAATTCGCCTCGTTATGCGCATAGGGCGGGGCTAACCACCCCATTTTCAAGACGCGACGGGCCTGCCACACACATCTCAGAGCAAAGCAGGTTAATTTTGTCTGGCATGCCTAGAAAGGTGTGAAGTTAAACAGAGTACTTGAGCCAAATTACCAAATCGGTAAAAAAAGAGGTAGGGTTTACCAAATTGACAAAAAAAAACTCCGAAGACAAATTGGCAAAAAAAAAACAAAGCTCCTGGAACAAATTGGTCAATTTCTTTTTGTGAGTGAGGCATTTTTAGTCAACACTTTAAAATTTCCGACATTTTTGAAATTGACATTTTCAATTCTTCTATTATGACTTTATAATGAAAAGTGGATGACTAAAAATGTCAGTATTTGACGATCAACGATTGTCTGCTAGCTGATAGCCGGTTGAATCACAAAATTGATACTAACGGATTCTGTTAGCTGTTTTAACCAACCTCTTCCATTAGTTGTTTGAAGTAAATGTTTAGTAACTTAGATGTTTGAGATTAGTTGTTAAGATGTAAATGGCTATTG